AGTGGACGCAAGTGTCCGGTGACCGGGAAGGACATGCTGTTTATGACTCTGGTGACTCTCAAGCACGCGGGTACATGGGACATTCTCTCCGCCAGCTTCGACGAGAGTGCCGCCACGTTCAGCAGCCGCATCCACAACTTCGTTCGCGTCCTTCACCCGTACTTGGTCCGCAAGTACATCGATGAGCAAGGCATGGAGTGGACGATGCAGCAACTTGCTGTCACTGGCCTCCAGATCACAACCCACAAGTCGGCGCTGTATGCAGTTGATGTGACGTTCCAGCAGACCACTGTCCCGGCGGTGAAATTCGGCGAAAAGAAGACGTACTTCTCCAAGAAGCACGGGCTTTATGGGCACAAGGTTGAGGTGTCTGTTGCACCCAATGGCTTGGCGATCAATGTCACGGATTGCGCTGTGGGAAGTACGTCGGACATCGAAATGTTCAAGGCTAACCTGGGCTTTCACTCGGCGCAACTGGAGAAGCAACCCAACGATACCAATGTCAGCGACACCGAGACGCTCCGCGACAAGTTTCCGAACCAGTGGGCAGTCCTTGCGGACAAGGGCTATCAAGGCATCCAAGAGTACGTCCGTGGTTTCACGCCAGTCAAGCGTCCCCCGCACGGTCAACTGACGATGGAGCAGGAGCGGGCGAATGCAAAGCTGTCGTCGGACCGCGTAATTGTGGAGAACTTCTTTGGACGGCTCAAGACGCTGTGGGGTCTGGTGTCGGACAAGTACACATGGAAGCGGGATGAGTACAACATGTACTTTCAGACTTGCGTGGCCCTCACGAACATCCACGTTCGGTTCAATCCATTGCGGAGCGTGGACGGTGAGGGCTACAATCAGTACAAGAACTGGCTGCTCTCGATTGGAAGCAAGATCAAGTCCAAGAACGCTTCGTCCAAGGCGAAGTATCGTGAGAACCGCAGGGCCCGGATTCAGGCTGTGTTGCGTCGTGCAAGCACTGGCTACACCAGTGACGACTACGGCGTTGGTTACGACGAGGGAAACGATATCTTTGATTAACTTCAACTCAACATGCATTTTTCATCAAATAATTGTTTGTGTAAAAAAAATTGATTTTGGGAAAAACTTTGGCACACCCCGGGACTCGAACTCGGGGCCCATCCACCACCGCCTAATCGTCAAACGATATGCTACGCGCCAAAGGCTTGGCTTATTTATTTATACCTTCGTCCATCGATATGGTCATTTGTACCTCCACAACTTAATTGTATTAATCCAATGGAGTTTGTTCTTTAGAAGGATACTGCACGATTTACTCGATCCTTTCACGAAGTGCAGGAGGACAACAAGAGAGTGAGTCACATGTAAAGATAATGCGTACATACTGCATGTGATCAATCTCTCGAGTTTGACCCATTCGTTGGTCAAGAGGTCTAGTACACTGATAAGTTTCAATTGTCATAATCCAGAAAATGACATGAAATATGGGCGAAAATAACGGCATCGTAATGCACGACGCATTCATTATATTTTCGATTTGTTGAAAACAAATTGGCCAGGATTTAATTAATTTCACTTACAAATGCCTAGTGATTAAATTTGAGAAACTATTTGTTCAAGCAAATAGGGAAAACATAAGTACACTTATTTGGGATTCTCAAAAAAACAATGCATATTGCACTACGTTTCATTGGGCCAATCACATCGCTAGAAAATAGGTATTTTCATGCATCGCGTTTGAGCTTCAAGCTTCCACGACGATACAGTACTTGTTTGATGACGTACTACTAGTACGCCATCGTGCTGAGCTTACCTGGCGCTCGCGCTTCGGCTCTCCGTCACTACCACGCCACCGCTACGTTGGAGGTTGCGCACTCGATTCGTCGTCCTAAGCGCACGAATCGTACGCTTCTCTCGTAGCATGGCACGGCAATAGCTACCCTGCAAACACCACCATACCACCACACCACCATACACCACCACTGTCGAGGTCAGGAGTAGACATAGTAATGAACCCCAGTCACGGCCTCTGGAGCCCCAGCAGTCACAACTACCGTTTCCGGTAGTTGTGACTTTGACTAAGCTGATCGTAATCCTGGAGCGTTACTGACTAGCAGTCAAAGTGATTACCACCCCACCCCTACCCTCCAGAATAATGCCCAAAAACCTTGCTAACATTACCCCAGTGACTACGATTGCTGCACATGTGACCACCCCATCACTCCATTGTACAGTACATGCAGTACATTATCACGACTAGCCATGTCATATCGACTCTGTGTTTCCTCTAAATCGACCACCAACGGCCACCAAGTTTTCAAACTACTTTGTTCGCTAGTAGGGTACTTGGTGGCATGGTGATGACATGCGCAACGCTTGTGACCAATGGCACTGCGCATCTCACCACCACTCCATCAAATACACTCTAAGTTGTGTGAAAACGGATTACGATGTGTGGCAGTGATAGTTGATTGTACCATTTGATGCTGGGGTCCCATCGGCGTGCAAGGAAGCTTTGGAGGATGGCTGATGCTAAGAGGAACAACCAATTCACTTATTCCCCCGTGCTACGTGTTTATTTGTAGTGATTACGTACACAAGTGATGCAAAGTTAATAATCATGTATACCACCACCAACTCGTCCATCGCATAACGATACCCTTGGAATCATGTGTGCCTTGTGGGCATTGTGTCGACGACTGCCCTTCTCCAACGTTAGTGATACGAGGCACAAGTACAGACAACGAGGGAATTTAAGGCTCATCTGAAATCGAAGTAGAACTCAATTCTCGCGACATGATTGGGTAAAGAACTACGAAATACGAAGAATATTCCGACCAATCAAGATGTGTTGAAGTTCATATTATGAATTCGCATAATTAAATTATCGGCGCCCACCAAATATACAATACCCAAATGGTTTTTTACCCATAACTCAATCAATCTTGCTCCGTTTTGGCTGAAACCGGTGCCAAAATCACCGCCTTGTTGAGACCTTTCGTTTGCAACTAATTTGAGCGCAAAATGATTGGAAGCCAAGTTAATCGCAAAAAACCGACTCTGAGGTTGGCGAAAGCCAAACTCAGAGGCGAAAACCAACCTCAGTCCGCAGCTCAATTCGTTATGGCTTAGGAATAGCTTTCAGGAAGCTACTGCGTACTTCATCCTCAGTGATCATCTCGAAAGCCTTGATGGCTCTTTTGATCATAGTGATACGCTTCACATGTGCTTTCGGTGTCATCCAACCTTCGTCTTGATCGTCATCATGCACGATGTCCTCCGAAATCCACAGGTCACGCATGTGCCTCTTGAATGGCGCCATGATCGACACGTCCAACGGCTGACAGTGCGAAGTAGCATTGGGAGGTAGAGCGCACACATCCATGCCGATGGACTCAGCCGAGGCCACGCTCTCCTTGCTCACATGACACTCGAAGTTGTCCAACACGAGCACAGACTTGCCTTGAACTTCTTCGGCCAACGCAAACCACAGGTACTGTTGCCACACGGTCCCGTCCATCCACGCTTTCTTCTGTATCGCATAGAAGTGTCCAGTCGGGTATGTTGGGAACTCGCGCTGCTCGATGTGGCCACCCGGTTCGCCTTTGATCACGAACATGATTGGCATCTTCTTCCCGTCTCGACGGATGGCCAGAACGGCGGTCATTCGGTACGAGTGCTTCTCGCCAGCCGACAGTTTTGCGTTTCCTCCACGTTTGGCCCAAATGTAACGCGGCGGCATGTCGTACTGGATGCCTGTTTCATCGACATTGTACACGCAGTTGTCATTGTACGAACCGTAGTCGGCGTGGAACTTGGTCGCGAACTCGGTGCGGGTGCTCTCAAGGTCCGAAAGGACCTTCTTCGCTCGGCAGGCTTGCTGGTGGGTGTATCCGTTTCGATGGCAGAACTCCTGCAGCAGCTTGAGGAGGTGGTCGTATCCACGGCCAGTCTTTTGGCGTTCCATGTACTGCGTGACCCATTCCTGGTGATGCGTCTTGAGGTACGTTATCATGTGCGAGCACGTGAGTGCTCGCTCCTGGGTCCGGCGAGCGTCCATGAATGCCAGGAGTCCGACAGGCTGCGGCAGTATGGTTGGGCGGCCAGCACCAGGCAAGTTCGTCGTCTTCTTGTTCCCTTTGTAGGCCAAGAGCTGATCCTCCACACGCTGCCAGTTGCGCACAGTTCGGCTTGGAACAGAGAGCTCGGCCGCGACTTGTCGGTACGGCATGGATCGAAGCATCTCGATTGCACGCAGCTTAAGCGCAATCGGATAGGTGTGCCTGCGCTCAGGATTGGAAGCACTACTAGTAGGAGAAACCGTGGACTCCATGAGGATCGTGGGTGGAATCCGCTTGTGAGTGCAGCGGACACGAAGGTTGTCACGCGCTCTTTTTAGTTTGGCGCGTGAATATTAATTTCACCAATAGGAATCGAGTAATTTTGGATTTGCTGCTCATTGGTTGAAATAACTTGTGTGAAACATCAAAATTCGATGAGCCTTAAATTCCCTCGTTGTCTGTATGTCAGCCACAGTGTATTTATGTCCAATCAAAACAATAACGTTCATTGATTGGATAAAATAATGAAGGTAGTGGAGCTTCCATTACGATTTCCAACCACAACACATTTCAAAAAATATGACGAAACCGTCTGGATTCACACTGTCAATATTTTGCGCGCGAAAGGCAGCCCGCAACACCGATGAAGCAACAACTTTGCCTTCTATTGCTTCGACGGCCCACATATGAAGTCGCACGATCATGATGGCATACTTGGAGTATCATCACTCAGCGTACCTCCTCAAGTCATCAAAGTGATGTCTATCTTGGCTGGAGTAATGTGGGTCGCTAAAATGATCGACGGCAACGAAGATGCCTTCTTTGAAACCTTCCGAATGCCCCGCGCAACCTATGGGGGCCTGCGTTACCACCTTGTAAACCGAAGATGCCTTCTTTGAAACCTTCCGAATGCCCCACACAACCTATGGGGGCCTGCGTTACCACCTTGTCAACCGTGGTGGTGATTGTGGTATAAATCACATCTCAAGAGCAGTTGTGCATGTTCCTTTTTCATGCGGAATTGATGTCCAATTTCAAACATTATATTGGCGAGCTGCGCCACTCACCACTCATGGACATCGGCATCCTCCCAAGCGACAACGCCAAATAGTACGAGAAAGTCGGGCACATTATCTAGCCCAAGTACAACAATCAGGTAGCTTTCTCCAACGCCTACTCCCCCCAGCAATACGCCGTAGCCGAATGCCGTATCGGCATTGTCGTGCAGAGAATGCGAGCTGTGCTCATTGAAGGGGCTTTGCCCAAGTTCTTGCCCACACTATTCCTCATGCCTTATCAACATCCCCCATCGGCATCCAACAAAGGTGTTTCACCCTACCACGTAGTTTTTAAACGACACCCAACTTTGGTTCACATACAAACCTTCGGTTGCACAGCGTTT